TTCTGGCTGTAAACTTTTCTTGTTACCGGAACAGATTCAATCTGGATATCATCGGAACGGATTCCGGTTGTATCAATCGCGGGAACAGAGCATACAGGTGCGTCGTGCCGGGTACACGCGAGACATATGATCCGCTTAGGGAGATGACGCTCCATTTTCATGTCGCCTAGGATTTCGCGAGGACGTGCACGGCCGGGAGCTTGAATTTCTGCCGAATAACGTATGCGTCGTCGCCGGGCGAAGAGCGCGCGCGCGCGCGCACGTGCGCCAACATCTACGTCCGGCGCCCCCGGATATGTTCGCCGGACTTTTGGCATTCTCCGGAATGTATTCAGCTCGCCGCGAAATTGAATTCGTGCATCTCCGCGCGGGATCCCATTTTCTTCGAATATTTTATTACTACGCCCGCGGAGAGGGGAGACAGAAGACAGTCAGGATCAAGACGTCAACTGTTATTACGGATGTAAAGGGGATTTCGAACGTTGACGATTATTCCGCGCGTTCTTCTTATTTGGAGCGGGAAATTTGAATAGAAGTGGAATGAGAACGCAGAAGAAAGTGGAAATGAGGAATCGCACATTTACTTCGTGGGTTTTAACGCTTTTATGAATATTGGAACGTTGCAGAGTATTACGCGTTTAACTCCTTCGCTACTAACAGTGATAGCCACTCATTAAAATTTCGCATTGATTATATACTATTGCATTATATATTATGATTATATGTATCACGGCTAGAATAAGGAATTAATAACTAGTTATTAACCTATTAACTGTGAAATTTAATTTAACGAATTTCTGATAATGCTCGCAATGAAATCAGATAATGAAGTGTATACTCGTCTAACACAGGCCAAATGTACCTACAGTATATTCTAACGAAAAGCTAAAGCAAAACAAAGAAGAATTGCATGTTTGTCTTAAAAAAGGAAAAAATTTATCGTTGAAAGAATTAGTATCATTTTGATTTTAAGATGACGTGTATACTCGTTGAATGCAGTTAATTGATTAAAGTAACAAGTACTGTACGTCTCTCACGTTAACTCCATTGACCATCAAGCTAAAAATGCACAGAGGCAAGCGATCTCTTCCATGCTCGGGCAGTCTTGGATTTCGACATATGTTCATGAAAACAAAATTCTCTATAGTTTCGTTTCTTGCCTGTGTCCACTTTTAGCTTGAGAACACATTTGTGAGTAAAGCTACTGTAATGAAAGGGTTAATGATGGGGTTGAATTGTCGGGAAATTAATATATTGGTTGTCATTATTGTGTAAAAAAGATTAACCTTAGAGGATAACTTACTTCTTTCTGTTTGAATGATTTGATTGTCGGGATAGTTTTTGAACATATTTTGGGCAATATATATAATTATTAATATAAATTATAAATATTTAAGTAAACAATTTTATATGCAGGGCCATTTGATTCGTATAGAGAAATGGAGATTGTTGGATTTAAATTTGCTTTGTTTTACCAATACTTTTAATGGAATTTTTGCAGTAAATTGGATCATTATGTAAATATTGTTATTTAAAATGAAACTTTATGTAGTTTGTGACAGGCTATATTTAATCAAAATAATTTTATTACTAAGTTTTGTCAAATATTATCAATATTTATCCATAACGATGACTGGCAGGAACAACAGAAATAGAAACAATTAAACTGTTTAAAGGAAACCTTATCCATTATCATCAGAATTTGTTAAATTCAATGAAACAGCCGCTAGAGAGTAATTGAATAACGAGGTTGACATCGATACAGAGGAACCTACTTGCCCGCAATCAAATTAACCGAAACGTATTTACATCGGTGCTGATATAAATTTCAATTTCAATAAAATTCTATTTCGAATTTTGCAATTAGCATCAAAAAAGCAATGAAAAAATCGGTCGTTCAATTTCACCCAATATATCAATAAAAATTTGCAATTAATATTTTAAACTGAAAATTGAAACTTTGACCCAGAATTCTCAGAAAATCAAACATACTGTAGAACCTAGATTGTCCGATTTAATCAGTCAACTAATAGTCCAAATAGTTCATTACTAAAAAAAATTATTTGAAACGAATTTTCCAAAACCCGATCTTATATATCCTGGGGTATAATCTAAGAATAAAATTATTGAATTTGTGAAAAACCAACACTTCGAATGATATAAATCATCATATAGCGAAAAGTAATGATTCGGTTAACACTGGAACTACCACACCTGTCAAAATAATGGGTTTCAGTTTTCTTATTTCGCAATTATTGGTATCTTAAAACCTTTGAACATCCTAAAATTAAAAATATATTGTTTCGCTTGAAAACTACAACGAATATATGAAGTAATTGAAAAAAATCTATTGTTATAATTATTACACGAATAAATTTTAGTATTTAATATTTTTTAATGTCACATATTAAAACTAGATTTACGGAACGCGTCAATTTGACGTATATTGCATTTTTTAAATGTTATTTAGTAAATGTTTACATCGATTTTGATTGCTGCAATTACAGGAATATGTATCCTGATAGTCTACTTTTAAATCCCTAATTTCCAAGATCTAAACGAGCTAACATTAATTTTTCTAAGTTCAATAGAATAAACAATACAATAAACGTCTGTAAATCCAGCCGTAATCATATTAAATGTTCGGTAGTTCTAGTGTTAAGCGAAGTCCCACCGTATTTCCAGATATTTGGCAACCACTGATTCAGTTCATCTTTTAGCCACTGACTGTCAAGGAATTAACCACGGGGGATCATTGGGCAACGCCATGGAGGCAAGTTGATGCCCGTGGTACTATTCGGGAAGGGACTACCTGTATAAAGTAGCCCAATGGTAGCCATAATCCGCAAACGATGCGCTCGTAAACAAAGGTCGACAAGGGGGCTGCGAAATGTGCTTTGAGGGAACATATCGCATCCGACCATCCGGCGACCTGTTACCGCAGTCTACGGCCTGCGCGCTTTTGACCTTCTTCTGGCTGTCTGCGCCGGGACAGATACCGTATCAAGAATTTGCAATGGTAACGACGACGTTCGAATGGCTACTAAAACCGCGGCCCCCCGTTGTTGCCCAGAGTTTCTCAAACATTTTCGTCCACGAGTTTCTCTGAGCTCGCGGAATAAGTGGATCCATAGACGAGAAAGACCACTTTGATGTCGGGTTAGCAGGAAACTGCTCTACCTGGTCTACTATGTATTATTCAGTACTTCGGTGTATACGCGTTGACGTGGAGATCATAGGTGATATGCGTGTTGTAATAATTGCTGATTAATATACAATGTATATTATCAGAGAGAAGGTAGGTACAAGAATTGCAGCTGAGAATTCTATTATTCCAATTTTGCTATAGGTATAGTTTCTTCAGTAATAAATTGTAAGAATATGATATAGTTCAACAATGAAACTACTTTCATCCTAGTAATATTGTATAGGAAAATATTTTGCTGTGAATTTTATACATCGTTATTTCAATGCAAAGCTAGACAAAATATTCACCTGAATGAAAATTCTCAAGTAATGAATAAAAATTGACAAATTTTCCATTCAAAAGACCTCTTTTTTAAAGGAGTATAAGCTTTACTACCTTTTTTGGTTGTTATTTGTTTGATTAACAATTTAATCATTTTTGTTTCGATATTAATTCAATGTACAGACTGATAGAACGTTCACACTGCTTACGTCAGAACTGAAAACCACATTTTCACTGGCAGGCCGCAAATGTCGTAGCCTGTCAAATCAACCATTTGACGATTTGTGTGATAGTAATTCGAGTTACCATAATGTTATCAATGTTTCTATATTTCGTATTAATAAATGAGTCTTAAATATCTAACATGATGTGTTGTGTTACATAAGATTATTGAATTCTCTAGTAACTAAGATTTTATTTGATTATATTCTATGTCAATATATAATCATTTTTTCGTGCTAATCCGATTACCAAGTGGAATATTTATATACATTCAACTCAAACAAATTTTTCTTATGACATTTTCTAATGATGTTCCGTTAAAAATTTCGTTAAAAGGTACACCAATTCTCCAATATTCTTCTAAACAATAGAACATGGAAGAAAAATAATTACAAACACATCTAATAAATTTTAAATATTACATTTTCTAATCTATCATCTTTTCAGATCTGAAAATAGTGTTTTTTTTAAAGTTTCCTCGAATATTCAAATTTTATAGTAACTATTTGCAGCAAATATAAATCACATAAATTGTCTGAAGTACAGAGAGTTGTTATTAAAATTGTTATTAAAATGTTTGAGAAACTTTGGATACTTGTAAAGAGTAGTCTGAGGCGATGATTGCGCAGAGGGTCATTAACTATTCTAGAGGAGATAGCAATAAAGGGAAAATGGCGTTTCAACAGGCGCCTGCTTTTCGCTGGAAGCAGAAGCGCGTAATTTCTTTCACATAGTCGGATCGAAATTAAGTGGCCATTCAGGACCAAGTCCTCGGTTAATTTTATGATTATGATTCATTTTTCCTCGGATATGTAATATTCGCAAAATAATAATCGAATATATAATATTTTAGAAATGAAAAAATCTAAATATTTCTTTACTATTATACCCAAGTTTTTTCTCTTAAAAGGTTCATTTTACTTGATGATCAACAATATTAAGAAATTAGTATTTACAATTGTTTGAAATAATCATTATCTAGAAAACCTAATTTGTCCAAATTTTGTTTATATATATTATTATTATTATTATTATTATTATTATTATTATTATTATTATTATTATATAATATATATTTCAATATTCAAATTTTCTAACCAAGAACATCATTTCTTATAATTGTTACATACAATGAGCCTCGAGTGAAAAGAAGTTTCCTTTCCGCCGCGAAAAGTGATCTTTAGTGATGGACAAAATTCGATTCGACTATCGTAATGCAATTTACAGCATCGACACTTATCAGAGTTATTCATGATGTCAATGTGGTATCTTATTCTTCATAATGGAATAATATAGGAAGTATACTCACAAGATGCGAGTCCCTTGTGGTGAATGTGATTGGGTCCGTTGCTCTTGGCTCTCGACAGTGGAATTCCATTTTGCCCCAAGCGGCAGCGCCAACGGCACCGCCTCTGGCTGCCTCGATCACCTCCAATTTCAACCCCTCCGCAACGAACTCAACCTGCGAAAAAAATGAAGGAAAACTTTCATAGCGTCGTATCAAAAGGTCACCAAGAAACGTAATTTTCATCGATTAATATTAATTTCATAAATTATGATACTTGAAACCTTAATTTCATTTAATAAATTCAATAAACGTAATAAATTCATTGATAAAAGAAGTGACTTGGTATTTTATTCGACTTCTGACAGATTCTTCTATTAATACTCTAAAAATATATGTATATTAAATTCGGTCATTAAACTATTTCTGTCGCATTATAGATTGTCTTAATCGTTCAAGATAAGTGTTTATTTTCTTCAAATAGAAATACGTGATGCATTAAACATAACTTTCTCTATTTTGTTACATTAAATTGGGAAGGAATAAAAAATCACAAATCACGTGAAAGATTTTTGGAAAATGTTCCACTGCACAATTAAAAAGTTATTAATTACATCATGAAATTATCATGTTATACTGCTTTACAGAGTTCCATCATTTTTCTACGTATCGATAAAAGCATATATTCCCTGAGACTGTGTCTGCAAGAAATAAATATCCAATGTCAATAGTAGCCAGTACAAAATCAACGAAAGCACAGCAGCGATAACAATGACTGCCGTCGATACGACGGTTAAATACAGGTGAGCAACACGAAACAATTTCACGGTACATTTTTACGCTCAAACCGAACACGGCTAATTGAATGATAAATCCAGTTACACGATTATTAACGAACACATTATCATAGTAATTAGATATTAACGAAGATTTATACCTTTTATCGATTTCGGGCAATCGCGATTTTCCCTTCCATCCTCCTCCTGCACTCTATTCCCATGAGAGTGGCGGACATTATTTACCGGGACCGTTAAAACCGTGGTCGGTTAAAATTCGGGCGTTTTTCAAGGAGATTTACGACCGCCCGTTTTTATCCCTTCGCATAAACAATGCAATCAAGTTAATTAATCGATCGACTACTTATTAGTCGATGATTAAAAGGCCGATCGGGATTGGTAGTCGATGCGGTGCCGGACTGAACACGGTAAACCGCTTTCGACGAAGTAACCAGATCAGTTGAGACGAAGCTTTTTATTCCATTATAAATGAGTGCCTCTCACGCGTCAACTTTAAAATTTGAGAAATATTTAGAAAAGTGAAGGACTTCTTTAGACATTTTTGATGATTCAATTTTAAAAAATCTTCAAATTAATATTGACTTTACACCACAAAACTAATTGAAAGATTCCAAATAATCAAAGAAAATAGAGAAATTTAACTTGTGTTTAATTCTGGACTTTGAAAAGTATACCAAAGCAATTGTATTTTGCAATTATGATCTACAATTAGTTTAGATACTTAAGTACATACCTACGTTTACACAGATTGCTATTGTTTCTGAAGATCGCGCTGGTCAGTTATTTGGGTTAGGTCTGAGTTAGTATTTATGTAACTATATAACACATTATTAATATTTCAGTATTATTGTCATTGTTATGACTATTATTATTAATATTTTATTTCTTCAAAACGAAGTTACTCTGTATAATACAAAGTATCTTAGTCTACTATCAGTGATCATATTAGGTCTTCTTATTAGTAATGAATAAGAGTCCAGTTTCAATTAGTATTTCATTAGGTTAACGAATGAAATTGACATTAGCATCAAGTTATGTTTATGCAGTTGGTATCAAATAAAAGAACATTAGTTTATAGAAACGTTCTCTGTGTTTAAATTTTGATTCAAGAACCCGCACGAACGTTTTCGAGGATCTATAGGTTCCACAAGCCCAGTTTCATCTAATCTAATTTTATGTGGTGATTCTTAATTATTTGTAAATGAATTCCGACATTACTATGATGAAAACAGGATCGTAAAATAGTGAGAAACATCTTGGTGCAATAAATTAAAACTTAAATTTCTTGTTTTCATAGTCGAGGATGCAGCGATTTGTCGAATGCAAATGAATCTATAATCGTGAATCTTACAGAAAATTCAACGAGAGTTTAAACCGATTCGCATTCACTCGAAAATTCCTTCACAGCAGTTCTTCGCGGTCCAATTGTCATCGTCAACGCGTTAATTGGAAATGTTCATTAAAATTTCTAACTATGTTTCAGGGACAACGCACGCGAAGTTTGAAGAACATTAACAAATGTAAAATAGGATAACATCGAATAGAATCTGTCGTTTGGCTACATTCCGCCGGAAGTTGGTGCCGGATCCATCAAAATCCTTTGTTCTGCCAATGATAATCACCACAGACAGTATTATTTCAGTAGCGGCGGGGTTTTGTTTAAATTCGACGACGGAATATTGTAACCGACCGTGAGTCCTAGTGTAATCACCAGCGTCGGGTCTTGAACTGAAATTTTGAAGCTGGAAACTCCAATCTTGTGGGATTTGTTGTGAACTACGAGTCACTGTTTAACAAGGAGATGAATATGAGTTTCGATCGTATAAGTAGTCGGAGTTTCGTGATATTTGATGGTGGATTACATAGACTTCCTGGTAATATATTAATGTCCATTGGAAAATGTATTTTGAACTGCAATTTTGAGGCAGTAAATAAATACGAATATCTGTATTTATATTAAGTATATTAATACAACATTTTGTTCACTACTTTTTACTAAATTTAAAAATTCTTGTGAAAATAACAATAACAGCCAGACAAATAGCGGAACGAGATTATTTTAATTCTTGAAATATAACTCATCTCGATTAACAGAATGGTACAAGTTATTCCATTATTAGACTATATTAAAATCTAAATTTGACTATGTTATGTAATTCGAGTGTGTTATAAAATGCACGAATTTTCAGGATCAAATTATAAACAATAATATTCTCCTAAAATCAAGTTATTCAATTACATTTCAAATGCTAACAAAAGCGACTATTCCCAGAACTTCTAAACTCTTTAAAGCGGCCTAGAATGTTATGGAAAGATGGAGGAAGAGGTTTGACAAATATTAGGACAAGCGGAGAGAGGAGTGTTTCGTCCAGAATCTACAACCAGTGGACTCATCAGTAAGGCTTTCCGGTAGATCCGTGCCTTAGATGCGGGGACGAATGTAGGATATTTACGATTCGTATATATACAAATAGCAGGTACTGGACTGAGCAAAAACGAGAAAGGCTCTTACGCATCGGTAGCCTTCTATTGGCGGAGTCGGAAAGATGCTGCTACAACTTTAATAGACTGCGGCTTTTTATGTGTTTATGGGAAATTTAAAAAAGTAAAATAGTACAGGAGGCACTCAATCCGAAAAACAATATAAAATATCCAAAGCATAACGTATTCTGTTTTTACAGAACAGATTTAGCATTACCAAATGGGCCTGAATGTTCAATTTCAGATTTTTTATTTTGCAATTATTCCAGAGATACAAATGCTTTTCTGAGAAATCGTTAAATAAATTATGTCCCCAACATGTATTCCAAAATATCAGTTAACCGATCTTTTAATAAATACATTTAAATATATTTAAATATCTTAACTAATATATTTAAATATGCTGAAATATCTCAATAAATATTTCTATAGCAAAATACAAACCAATCAACTTAAATCGATAGTTTCAGCGTTAAACAGTAACACGATTTCGCCTTCAAATTATTTTTATGCTCGTTCCTCGAAATTTCTTTAATATTCAAGCGTCCCGCATCAATCGAATAAACAATGTTTATGCCCCTGATCATAATCCCGCGATGTCTACGTACGAATACACGCACACGCTTACGTCAACAAGAAGCAGAAAACTGTTGAACATATCCCATCGGTTTTCTAGCAGTTTGACAAATAATTCCGTACAAATATTATCTAATTTTTCAGCGGCGCGACGAGGCTCGGACGATCTTTCGCTTGTCCGACTGGAAATATCGATCACCCGGCCATTGTGTCCGTACAGTTAAACAAACAATAATATCCAGCGGGGGAGAACGACGAAAGCGGGATTTCCCTGGAGGATCGGCAATAGGTCGAAAA